GCCTGGGTTCGGTTGTACTCGCGTCGCCACTGTTATAACGCTGTGCCCTGATCGCTCTCGACTTTTTGATTTACGCCTGCTGCGAAATCTGCGCCCTTACGCCTGCTCTGTTTGACGCTTGGAAAACCCGACCGGAACGGAGACAGAAGACTACTCAGCAGACCAGAGTTCTATTAAGGCAAAGAAAGCTCATATTTATAAGTCGGTATCACAATGCGGATTTGACTATACGCCCACGCTCCACACATACTTGTCCGTTCCATCTATCTCGTTCGCCGTGTTGCTCACGCATTCCAGCCTTCGTCCGCCTACGCAATTCACTGTAACACGCGTGATGTCTGACGCGCGATTTCATCAGCTCTCGGCTGGGTCCTGCTAACACGCTCTCAAGGACTTTCCCACACACGATAGGTGACAAATGCGCGGGCGTTGGCACTCAGCTTTCTCGCCCAGCTGTCAATCACTCAGCCGTGAGATGTGATCATTCGATATCCTGTTATCATTTATAATATTGATATCATCAGAAATTTATAAGAAATTCCACTAAAGAATGCGGTCACGATCCTTAATGAATGTGAGGAATAAACGTGGCCCCAGTACCGATTCTTGGGGTACGCCAAACTTTACGTCAATTTTGTTTGAAAATGGAGCTGCGGCGTCTTATATTCTGCTGAGATTGAACGAGGAAGTTCCCGAGATAACCCTATATATGTTCACTGATTCCATAACTTTGAAGGTTTTAAAGGAGAATGCGTGGTCCAAGCGATCTAACACAATCGAGAAGTATAATTAGACAACGTCGACTCCCACTCTGGCATCGGCGGACACTGTCCAGGTTGCCCTGGTTGGCAGCAACTTTGTAGTGCAGGATCGATTTCTGCGGAATCCGTGTTGCTGTGACACTAGAACTTTGTTGCTCTCAAGACATCCTATGAGCGCCTCTGCAAATTTGCCTCCCATTAATTTGGATAAAGCTGGACAAGAGAGCGTTTGGATGGTAGTTCTAAGGTTCCGAACAATTAAAAATATTGTAAATAAGGGTGACTAACCTATGTTTCCACATTGTCGGAACCTACATTTTGTCGAGACCAAGTTGAAATAACTAAGCTATTGCTTCGGCAATTAATATATTGTGGATATCACAAACTTGCAACGCGCCTTAGAGAGGGGTATCGATCGCGCCTAACTTAATTACGAACAAAACGTACGTATGCATATTTGGACGATAGCTGCTTTCAACGCATTTTACATTTTTTTCCGGCACAAACTTCTTTCCCTTTATCGTGGAAAACCTTGATCAAACGAATATACGCTATGAAACGAGTTACATACAAAAATTAGTTAATTTAAAATTAGTGCTAACATGTGCTTTAAAATATTACTAATACAATGCATGAAAATTATGTAACAATTTTGGTATTCTCCTTTTATAGGAGCGTTTCTGTTGTTGTCGAGGCATGTACAATAAATTCGTGTATTCACTTATCACTCTCTTCTAAAACTGCCAAAATACATCACTGAGCGGTCATCATTTGAACTCGGTCACGCAATGCAGCCGACTGGAATGTAGACGAATCTTTTTCTGCCTCCACGTGTCACAGCCCTGGGACACTCTTCTGGCGCCTATATTATATATATTCAAATATGCTTGAGGATACCCTGACACATATTCTATAAACATCAGATTATGACATTAGTGCAGAGCAAAGTGTACGGTGTCAAAAGCAACTTGAACCACAGGCATGGACACTCACACATTTGCAACTCTTAGCCACTTGATCAATCATGTTGGCTTGCACGTATTTTAATAATGGTGTTCTTTATTTTGCACTTATAATTCGTAGCCATCGCAGTTAATTTATCATATTTATTTTGTATACCCGCCATGCAAGTTTCATTCCTGCTTGCTATATCAAACTTCAATTACGTTTTATGTAGTAAAATATTTACGAATGTAACTAGAACCCTTCATGCACAACGATTGCTTGTTGTTGCGCTGTGCAAAGCTACTTCCCTTTTGGCTTGATACCTGATTTGCAATGTACATTATTTATTTTCTGGGAAAATATATGAATTAACAAAGAAACATTGCAAGATACTTACACATATTAGACGGCACCCACTTCAACTGCTAAAAGTTTTTGTCAAATAGGTATGCCCTAAATTAACCAGAACCCCTGTATTTGGATAACGCATAAACACTATCCAAACTGTTTTCCGGAATTCTTCTACCCAAAATTGACGCAATTTCCTAGAAATTCCTTGCTATAGTTGCTAAAATTTTTCATTCTTGTTTTGTTTAGGATGGCGTATTTCGCAATTTTATCTGTCGAACACCATAAAGCATATAAAAATATCAACTGTAATGTAAATTTTCTTGTTTAGAATTTCTGAAAATATGTAATGTAGCTGTCATAGACATCAAATCCGTCTGCTCGCTAGAATTTAGTTTCACAATAAAATGAATTATTGCCTACTGAAACCTTGAAAATGAAGTCCTGTGTTTGACACGTTGCTTTTCCATAGAGTTTTAACCACATTCATGTACCACATTTATATTGATTTTACTGCGCAAATATTTCCATCAGGACAAAGAGCAAGTTGGAAGTGTGTTAGCTGTGTAATCAGTCTATTTTTGTGCCATTGTCAGTTGTTGGTGCATGCGGAAGTCAAATTTTTGATGCCCAATGATGTGGGATCTAGGGTTTCAGAGAGTAAATAAATGCGGATTGTATAAAAAGCAATAAATAAGCATTCTTTTTTGAATATGCGAGACACTTTTATCGTTTGGATTGATTAAGTGCCTACTTTATAGAACCTTGATAATAGATGAATTAGAAAAATTGCACATAACCTCAGCTAATAACGATTGGAAGGATAAGGACGAGATAGTGAATATTTGATTGGTTTGCAAGAATTCTAACCGTGCACTCATATTTAAAAAGTCAAACAAATAGTGAAAATAGGATGGTGAAACATTCACTGGGTGAAATGAAAATTACACCCTTTTCGTACGCTTGGCTACCCATTATGAAGTGATTAAACATTTTGACCATATTCTCTGCCGACCGAAACTTCCTGATGATTTTTCGAGATTCGTGTGCTTGCGGGTATGCTGGTTGTAACGTTATTTCAGCCCCTGGCGTCCCTATTGAGTAACAAGTAGGCGGAATTGCCCATCATGCAATTGCGTTCCGCCACTGAGTTCGGTTTCGTGTACCGTAGCCTGCTGATTGGCCTAATAACATCTTGAGATTAGAGCAATGTTTATTTCTGTAACATAAGCCAAACAACATAACTGGGTTACGCCTTCTACGCCCTAGCCAGAGCAGATCAAGCCTGAACCTGTCACATGGTTATGGATATTTCAGTTTTGAAAAGTCGCTTTCAGAATGTTCTATGTGGTTGTCTCAGTGTAATGCCTTCACACCTTTTGCCCTGTTATTAACTATTGAGCAATATTCTAAAGTGAGCCAAACAACTGACTTACAAAAATAAATTATTTGTTCCTGTAAGAAAACTCCTAAATAACAAATAATTAAACAATTTTGCGGTAGCGCATCCTGCTTTTTCACGGAAATCAAGTGAGCGTGGATATGGGGATCCGAGAATTATAACTGGTTTGTCATTATTACTCGAAAACTATGACTCTAATCGCATTTGTAAATTTTTGCACAATATTTCACAGTAGAAAATTGCATTTTGCAGATTGAGCACCATGTTAAAAGAGCATAGATTTTGCGATAAGTCACGTTGACAGCATCCTCAAAGTCTATGCGAGGAAAGTGCATTCGATTTCAATCTCTTCAACAAACAGGTATGTTGTAACGAATTTTACAACGCCGAAGTTACGGCCAACATAAATTAAGAACAGGAGCGGCCAAAGAGCACTACTTGAATTTCACCTCCCTTGAAAGATGTAAGTTCGGAATGGCATTTTTGAACGTGCACTAAATGCGTTCAATTTGTTAGGTATGACCTGAATAAAAAAGCAGACATTCAAAGGTTACCCGTGGGAAACTAGTATTACCTGTGGGTCAAGTAGATAGTTCATATTATTCTGTCGCAAAAAGGTCATCTGGTGAAAACGAAAGTTTGAATGAACCAAATAATCAATTGACTTGTAAATATGCAAAAGTGGAGCCAAATATAATGAAATCATCTGAGTTAATAACTTATGCATTAACATAGTTTACCTATGTAAGCCATATATATTTCGTAATATTTATAGTCAAGAAAAAATATGAACATAACCGATTATCTAGTTTTTGCCTTTATTGGTAACGTGAATTTATCAGTTGTAAAAGTTTTAAGCACGATATGTCAGATCATACAATACACATTAGGCAAGAAATCAAGGAAAAACACGGTTGCTTCCTATGTGCGATGTACAGAACGTTGGTGGAATGCGCACCGTGCTTTGTGCTCAAATTGATAATTATGCTCCGTATTATTACTTAAAACAAAAACCATGCTGGACGCCAACTATGAAACTCAATTTCTACACAGTACTTCGTACAGCGAAAATTACTTCTTCTAGCGGTTGGTTGAATTGAAATTTTCATTGGGAAATCATAATATGTTATTCAGATACTTTTCCTCAACTATCGTGCACGAGATTGCGGTTGGAAGCAGGAAATGAATTAGTACCGCATTAACAAAATATGAGTGTATTCAGCAAGATTGTTTCTCATTTGAAACCAATGGTATCTTGATTGCCTTAGGATTACTGGTTAAGCTCGAAGCAGATCCTTTTTCACTAAATTATGAGACACAATGTTTTAGGAACACTGAAAAACACACCAGCGTTTTATGAGCTGCTTACAGCAGCTTATAGTACTTAAACGTACAGACGGACCCGATTTATTGCCCACCTGATTTCTAACTCACCTCGAAATATTAACAACGTTTGCACAATAAAGTTCTTTCTCATAAACTTACCAAATTGTCACAGTCTAAGTGCTCATTGCCGGGGTCGTCTCACCGATTAATTGCCCAGG